GGCGTTACTAGACCATGTGACATGTTCCATGTGATACTTGGGCGCTTCTGGGCTTCTCTGGTAGTGTATTCCGACTCTGAGACTAAATAAAGAATCATTTCTTATGGGAACGCATTCTTTAAACTCACCATCCAAATTCAACAATCTTCTTCAGTTTGAACGGTGAATGGTGTCATTTTCCAAGTGACGGTAATTTCCTTTCATGCAGTGTAAATTTTTCGACTGTTATTCCGGGTGTGCACTTGGTCTATCAGCTCCTGAGGAGTTGTGACAAGTCTGAGACATCACTGAAATTCCATAAGCTCGGTGAGCTCCAATTTTGCTTAACATTCCAAACTGTCGTGTAGCGCACTTGAGCATTCAAGGCGGAGGCGAACCGTTACAGATTCGTTGTTCTAATCTCCGGGAAGAAATTTCCAGGCGTAGTTTGAAGCACATGCTAAGGCTTCCTAATTCTAGGCAGGAAAAATTCTGGAGAAGAGCAATGAAGTATTGTGTGCTCCGCGTAATTCAGATTCAGTAAAGAAGAGGCATCAACATGGATACTCCAAGACTGCAGCATATCCTCAAGGATTCAGTGAATAGTTCGATAGAAGAGCGAACTCCAATCTTAACAAAGACTTGGAAAACTGAGTTGAGAAAGATGTATCGGTGAGAAAGCATGGCTTTGTGCCGCTGTTCAAATCGCCCAGAAATATAACACATTTTAAGGACGATAACATCTTTAAGAGCCAAACACAGCGCTGATCAAAATACCGAGGCAAAAAATATAGTTCAGCGTGCAGCACTTGGCTAAACTAACGAATTAGTACTTCATTCAATGAATTATTCTTTAGTAGTGGAGTAAAAAGGATTTTTGTTGTAATGACCAAAACGACGCTATTACATATTATAACTGACCATAACCCTGATAACTATAACAAGTCATAAGAACCATCGTCAATCACAATAAGTCAACCCTTGTCGAATACACACTTCCTTAAATCAATATCCCAAGCAGTATCTATCACTAGCGGGACATCTAGCAGGACTCAATACATATCCGCGGATGTCTCGCAGAAGCATTCCGAAGATTATTCATTCGATTAAGTCAGCTATTCATCAGCTCACGAGAAATGGCTGCGAGATCAAAGTGGCAGAATTATGATCACCTTGCTCTTCACTTCTTAAACTGTTTCTTGAATAGCAGCAGTATGCTATTCAGGGTCGTGTTTCCTGCTGATTTCTATTATAGTGATCAATGTAAATCAAAGTATTAATGAACTTGAATACAGATACGCAAAATATCCCGCCTTGCTGAGATCGCAGCCATGACGTGACAGCGAGGTTTGCGTGCATTAATGATCTTCCAAGTTATGCCAGAGGAAGCTTCAGCTTCTGGTAGGGTTACTCATGTTGGATGGATCTGAGGTTAGACCAGACTAAGTTCGATCAACCATAATGAAAATGATCCTACGCCGGATTGGTCTACGGTCAGGTTACCAAGGGTTGCGCAGGCTGCTAAAGAACTGAATCAGCCTGCAATAAGTGGGCGAACAGTATCTGATTCTGCGCCTGGAGAAGTGACAGAATGGCGCAGGGCGCAAAAGCAGTTATCAAAGAAAAAACAAGGTTATAATGAGGAATTACATCGCAGGGAAACGGTGCATGGGTTATCGAAAAAGAACGTTGGAAAAATGGAGGAAGGTTTACCCGCTCAGTGATGCAAGGGGGCAATGTCTAGCGAAACATAAACGGTTCACTTAGAAGAACAAGCTGGTAATGGAAATGAAGCTGGATGCCTTAAGAAAAGCGCTTGACAAACACCACCATGCAAGAAGATCAACAACTCAATATATTAGTAAAATCACCCCAGATAAGCCTATGCGACCAGAGATCAAAAAGACTGACGTGACAAAAGTTATCCAGCTGAATGACAGAGAAAACTCGCTTTCGAAGATCCCACAGAAGTCTGAAAGGCATGAATAATATGCAAGAAAGAAAAAGCTGTGCGCAAGAAAGAGCTCTGCAAATATGCGACTCAAGCGAACAGTTTCCTGATGTCGATACCAACCACTAACTTGGAATCCATTTGTAGCGTGAAATACGTGCCAGCGTTTGTGACAAGGAAGAAACTTTGCGATAAGCTTTGAGAAAATCCAAGAGAGGAGTCACAGCAGCTAAGAGGAACTAAGAACAAACAAGAAGAAATACGACGAGAAATGAATCAACGACACCAACTGAACAAGGACAGCATCAAGATATCAACGACGAACGTGATGAAAAAGTGCAGGATAGGATCAAACAAAACAAATAGAGCTGAGTGCAGAGGTGAGGCAGAAGCTGTTAGCTGCATAACCAAAGCTTTGGACATACCAGAACAGTTTCGACCGGTACAAACAGATCAGGACCTTCATTCAAAACGCTAAAGCCTTCTACAGAGAACTGGAGGCAAAGAACAAACTCGCAAATAATGCAAGACCGTTTATCCAAACGCAAAAGAATTGCCCTAGTTCTGGAGAACGATATGGGACTATGACAAAGCACACAACAAATAAGTTAACTCGGCAAAGGAAATGCAAAAGAATGCAAATGGAATCTCTGAGCAAAGAAAGATCCAGTCACCGGAGAAAAAAGTACACGAAGCGCTCAGTAACATAAAAAACTGGGTATTACCAGGACTGGATCAGGTACAATTTGGCATATGCGTATCATATGCATTCTTGCTGAAATGGCTAACAGGTTAGCACTCATGAATTGTGGTATTCTAGCAAACAGTGAGTGAAGAACCAATTTTTTGGTTAACGGAAGAAATGACATTAATAGTTCTGAAAGAGGAGAAAATGGTAGCTGACTAGTGCCAGACCGATTACGTGCCTTCCAAAGACCTGAAAATTCTTAACCTGTATATTAGACAACGCCGTTTTGAGATCATCTCGAGGTGAACAACGTCATATTTCCTAAAAACGCTGCCGGCTGAAATCTGAGGGACCTAAGAAATAATTACTCATAGACAAGGAACTACGTCAGAAAAGTGAGAAAGACTAACATGGCCTAAATCGACTTCAGGAAGGCATCTGATATAGTACAATGCCGTGGAATCCTGGAAAACCTGGAACTTACAGCTTCAATAACGGTATGACAAAGTTCTTCGGCAGCTATGAAAAAGGCAACAACACTGCTACGTAAAAGTCTCCCTAGGACCAGTAAAAATCAAGTGAGGAATCTTCCAAGGAGATTCAATCGCACCGCTTCTACTTTGTCTGACATGAAATGCACTCAGTTTCTTGATGAATAACACAAAAAAGTACATAAGTTGAAAGACGGCAATGTAATATCGCACCTCTTAGATGGACGAACTGATGCAGTATGCGAGAAAAATAAAAGAGCTGGATAGCATGATCCAACGAGCACGAATGTTTTCAGAAAGTATAAGGAAGGAATTCGGTTTGGATAAATGTGCTATGATCGAGATTAAGAAGAGAAAGACTTGGTAAAGCGACGGAATGTCGCTGCCGACGTAAAATAAACAGCTTGGAAGAACGATAGTCAAATAAATGCCGTAGAACTTGACAATATCTTATACAAACTGTGAAATTAACGACAAACACGAAATAAGAGAATCCGCCGACTCCAGAAGAGCAAATTAAGGGGAAAGACCAAAACTGTGGTCGAAATCAATATGCAGTACCACCAGTGCTGGCTTATAAAGGAGGCATCGTCGAATAGACAAAAGCGGAGAGGCCAAAACTGAATAGAAAGACGTGAAAAATCTTAAAGATATACGGATGGTACATTAAAAATAGGCACGGACAGGCCGAATGCCCTGCGCAAAGAAAGAGGAAGAGAATTTGGTAGAATCGAAGATAAGTTGGCAATACTTCGCAACGGCAGTAAACGATAGGCTTCTGACAGCTGTAAAGGTCAACGACTGGAAATACAGAAAATCAGGAAAATGTCCAGAACGGCTGATACATTAGTTAAAAGAATAAAGAACTTCATGAACAACATCATCACCAATTTGTTTAAGACAGACATACACAAGGCTCTCAACTCCATATCAAGAAGTGGAAATTACGGCAAACAGGAAGCCCTTTTAATAACTGCCCAAGACAAAGTAATGGACAAACACGAACTCATGTGAAAGATGAGACCGTGGTCATTACAATTTCTGATGGAGAAAATGTTAGGGAATCGAGAATAAAATGAAAGGCACAACAACGTTACAAAAATGGTCTATCGGCATTAGTGCAAGCGAGCCGACTTACCAACGGCAAAGCAGTGGTGGAAACACCAAACAAAAACGGTGGAAGAGATACGTAAATACTTCTGTACTTCCCAGTACGAATTAATAACGAAATATAAGCTCATCATCCGGATACTGTGTTGGCAGAAAAAGCGAATGGGCGGGCCCAAATCACAGATATAGCATGCCAGGCAGGCTGCATCGTTGCTGTTAAAGGGAGAGAAAAATTACTGAAATATCAAGAACTGCGGATGCAGATAGAAAAGATCTGGAGAATAACAATGGAAGTCGTTCTTGTGGTGATCGGAACCATCGGAGCAGTAAAAAGAGACCGTCAGCGGCTATTAATGTCAATTGATGAAGTGAAAAAGACATAAACTGCTGAAGAAGACTCAGCTACGAACAGCCAGGATTTTAAGACAGTACTGCAGCTCTTTAACCATTGGTAGAGAGTTCGAGAAGGAATTATGTTCGTACCACTCATTGTATTTCACTAACTCTGTCTGATATACATAAAATACTAAGTCCCAAAGCAAGTATATGTCAGTGCCGAGCATCAATAAATTTTCGCGTATAACACCAGAACTCATGGTGCGGCGGTAACAAAGGACACGTTCAGCTTTTAACGTTAACATAGCTTTAGAACTCTTTTCAACAGTCGTGCAGCTGTTTGCATTGCAGAAAAGTCCACTTCACCGCTTTTCAGATCAACATACTTTGTTAATATTTCACAAGTTCATGGTTTCACAGATTCACCATTTGCTTCAACACTGCCAAAAGGACGTGATTATCATACGAATTATAGAAAGTGAAGAAAACCATTTTCAGTTCCAAGGAGGTATCGACCAGTTATACAACTGTTCTGTCAAAATTGTCTCTTTCGACAGTAAAAATAACTAGCGCATGCTACATGACGAAACTGTTCCTTAACCTGAAACAGTTTACTTATTTTGCATTCAGACAAGAATCAGTCAAGCTCAATTCTGCAATAACTTAAACAAGTCATCCTGCTGTTCGTCTTTTTCTCTCCCTCCCTCTGTCTCTGTCTGACTCTCTCTCGCTCGCAAATATAGCATGAGCATATGAAAATATAGCTGCTGCAAATATGAATTTCGGTTTTTAGATTTTCGCTTCGTCTTTGAATCATCTGAAATGTCAGGGTCATGTCCAGGACTCTAAGATGATTCAACCTTTCTTAAAAAAAGAATCACTGTCTCAGCATCACTTGTTCGAACTAATTCAAGCTACTCCATTAGTCGTGCTATCAAAATTTGTCCCACGATCCGGTAAACTATAGAATTCACAGTACAACCTCTTTGCAAACTTAAACGGAACCATTTATCGCATTTTCACCAGTTTTAAGTTTGTCAAGACTAACTCTTGAACAGAACTTACAGACTCGTAATTCATTTGTTTTTCGCCATGCTTGCACCATCTTGAAAAGGAACTCTCATGCATCACTAGTTCTAAAATCGACTATCGTAGAAGCATCTGTCGTGCAATATTTCTTCTGCTTTCTGTATGTTGCTGTTGTATATTCTGGATTTCTTCTTCCTTCCTTAAGCCATGAACCGCTAAGAGCGCCAAAAATGGCGGGTTCGAATCGAGACCATGTGCCTCCCCTTTCATTTTCCTGAGATCAATAAACAATTTGAATATGTGAGAAGAAATAAGATACGGGAGGGTGGATTGCCACAGAGATGCTCGCTTTCGTAAGTAAAACCATTACGGCTCATGGCAGTAGAACAGAGATCGGCACTGAAAGATAACCTCAAAAGAGGGTATCCTAAACGGCATCCTGCATGCAAATGCAAGAGAAGAGTCGAACATTCCAAAGGCGACGAACCTCCATTCTACTCGTTTTCTACAGCAAAATTTAAGATAAAAAGCTTCTACAGTTACGTAGAAGGTTATCGAACTCCTTCATTCAATATTAAGGTAAGTAACGGAAATAGTAATCATCCTTGAATCAACCCCATCCGCGCGTTGTCGCTCCCTTTCAATAACGGTTCTAGGAGGTTCGAAAATATACAAGAGAATTTTCTGGCATGTAAGTTAACAAAAAATTATGCGCACAGTAAAGAACTTACTCCACGTTTAGGAACACGTGCAAAATGGAAGCGGCCATCTGAATTATCCATTTATCTGAAACACCAGACAATCGCATTAAATTCTGTTCCCAGAGGGTACGGTTGGCGTCGATTGCCTCACTAACGCCCGTGTCAAGACGGCTCGCAACAACCTAAAATAAAACTTAGTCAGAAGCGACTTCGAAACCAAGAGAGTCACCAAAATTTTGAGAACGCGGGAGCAGTTAACATGCCCTGAGCCGCCACAGCACTGGACAACTACATCGACCTGAAACATGCAAAGAAAACATTTTAAACATCGCCCGTTGCAAGAAACGAGCACATTTCGTACTGGCACGTTGATGTCTTGGTATAAATCACGAAGCAGAGACAGATAAGCTTGATCCAGCTGTACCACCTGAACACAGCAATCGTAAAATGACCTAAATTGGATCACAATATAGAAATCTGTTTCAACCTGCACTCGAAAATCAAATTCCTACATTACTAAGCAACAAATTGTATTCATTTCCTTTTTCACGAAGCTGTTCAGCCGTTCAAATTTACAACGAGTGAAAATGCCATCGTCGGGGGGTTTAAATATTTCTGCTAAGTCTCCGTCGATGCTCAGGAACTTTCGGCTTTTATAAGCTGGGTTCCCAATCCGTTCGGATTCACGAACACATTTCACGCGCGTGTCTTCTCGAATGTCAATGATACGCCCCTTCGCTTCCACCAGAACGTCAGATGCCCACACCGAAGCTAGGTGTTGTAAGGAACGACGGATGGAAATGGCGTCGATGCATTCTTCCCATGTAACTACCTGTAAATGGGACACCACAGTTAGCAAAGTTCATCAGGCAAAATGAGTGCAACCCAGAGAAGTTTAAAGTATTCATCAAGTACTCACTATCAATGATATTACTACTTCAAAAATATATTCAAAGCTAATAACAAGCAGCATTTGTAAACCACTGAATTTTCAACTTATACATCCTAAGTTGCATTTAAAAAATGAGTGGCGTAAACTGCTTCACCATATTCATCGAACACATTTTTTGCATTCTGGTGGATATATTTGAGCATGTCACGCCCGTTCAGTGAGACATGTCAGTGCAGATAAAGACACTGGCTTCAATAATGGTCGGTAATCGGTTACACGGCATAAAGAAGTGCATCGACTGCAACATCCAACACACGCAATTCAGACCAAACATGAAATTCGTGGTTAATGTGAGTCGTGAAATTTATAAAATAGAAGTGATCATCACAACGGTTTGACGGTGAATTCAGAGAGCGGAGAGGCGCCGTATTTTCAGTTAGCTCATCATGCCATCAAGTCTTCTGACTGTGCTTGGAGGTAACCAAAAACAAGAAGCTATCGAACGAAAACCCGGACTGTAATAACGTAAAACTTGACGAAATTTATAAGCATAATGATTAAAACGCATAGAGTTACAACAGACTTATATCAGAGGGTCTATCACCTTTTCTTATTTTGGTTTCGAGTAGAAATATTTGAACTTCGAGAAAACTCTCATTTGTGAAACTGTGCAAAGTAAACATTATGAAGCATTTTCATTGTCTCTATGCTAAACAACAACCCTTTGTGATGTTAAACAATCGGTTTGTGACTGGCAGTGTCATTCCTTTTTTTTGCTCAAGTTAAGTTTAAGGCATTTGAGGCAAAAATGAAACTACGGTTTATATCTAAGCAAGCAGTCTTAAGTAGCTATAAAATACAGCCTACCACGCGCCTAAATGATTCTACGGTTAAACAGCAACATTAATACCATAGAATATTCATCAAAACAGTTGGTCGCTAAATACACGATGCTAAATCTGATAAAAATTAACCGATATGCTAATTTTATAACGATTTTATAACGAAACTTATCACTGAGGCCACCTGAGGTTATGATCAGCATGTGCACACTCAGCAACAATAAAGATGGATACTGATGATAAGCTGAATGAACAGCAAAATGGTAGGGTAATCCAACAAAGAAAACATGAAATATATGAAGATCAATGAAGGCTCGTCTGCTTAACATAGTAAATGAAACGACAGCTTGAAATGACACAATAAAAAGTCTAGAAAGGGGGCAGCTAAGCAACGAGGAAGCGAAAATGGGATTAAGCAGAACGACAGTAAAGAGGAGATATAATTTAAGGAACCGCTCTTGATACAATAAGGCTACCAGAAACCTGAGTGAAAACAGTCTCGAAGTTTAGAAATGTGAAATCCTATGCTTGAAAGGAAAGAGGGAAGAAGAAAACAATGTTATGGAAGAAAATCGAATTATACGTGGTTGTCTGAATGATTCATGGTTCGGGGCGCCAAATACAGAAGGTAAATAGTTTAATGCCAACGCTCCTCACTGCAAAGACCGCAGCATCATTAGGACTTGACTAAGTACAATTGTCTGCTTGAAGGAATTTATGTCCAACAAGCGAACAATGCCAGTTTTTCAATTGGCTTACCACACAAGAGAAAATCGAAACATTCCAAGGATAAGAAAACAGAAAAAACTATCTGGATAAACGAGGACACAAAACCAGTAGTCAAAAAAGAGATAAAAAGCTGTCTTTGCCGATATAACATTAAAAGAGATACGTCAATAAATAAACAGTGACTTTTATTTTCGAAAAGGACGGTTTAATCAACAAAGAAACGTAAAAATCACTATTAAACCAAAAATGAAGGACCTTCAAATAGCTTACTATATGTGAAACTTCTCTGAGGCTTTCAATTTCTTCGCTAGGCACAGACAGCTGGTCGATCTTGTTCGTGTTATTGAGGATGAGCTTCTGCAGCACAATTATGATACTTTCATACAACCTTAAACGACAATAAATAAAGTCTGACAATAAAGTCTAGCAGACAAAATGGCAAAACTTAATACTTAGGCTCATTAAAAACGATCGCCGGCAACCAGGCTTCAATTATTATATCGCAAATAAAACCTCTGTATAACAGAAAAGAAGAAAACAATTATTGGACCTTATTTTAAACGCGTTTATAATCAATAATATTTTCTGCGTTTTACGCTTTAGCCTCATCGACACAGATGGGTCAGTGCAGAAAAATCGCACCCCAATGCTGCAGCAAACAAATCAGCGATCTTAAAACCAGGATGTCTGCCTCCCCAATACTTCTTTTACCTTGTTATCATATCTTAATCGAGCGTTCTCCGCTGCCTTTTTCAGTATGCATCACCACACTATGGTGATTTTGCCATTCATAAATAAT